CGATATATTCGGGCATATTTTTCTGTATAACACTCTCTAAATTATCAAACTCATACGATCCCGTAGGTATGATAACATCCTCTCTTTGTCCGATCATATTACGAAAACCGATAGTATTACAGCCGGGTTCAATGTTTGGTATTGAATTATTTGTCTGTAGGCTCAAAAGGCATATTTGTGATGTGCTTTCTACTTCTAGCGGTGGAAAAATGTCGCATGACAATTCACTTGAGGTACCGTTTAATGTTAACGTGTACATGATAAAAATTTTAAACACAAGTGCCCGCAGTTGGTAGTATTATATTTCTGCTCTCTGCTGTAATTGAAATTGATGTCGCATCCGTGAAAATATTTTTGTACTTCTAATGGAGGTGGCAAATTTCCGAAACTGTCATAATATTCAATTTTATTCCCGATTTTTTTATACGCTACCCAGTGAGTACCTATACCGTTTTCTGTATCCAAGTTAACAATCGCTGATTCTATTCGTTTACAACGTACAGGCAACCTATCTCGGGTAAACACACCGACGAAGTGAGGTATTTTAATCAAACGAGCCATTTTTATAAGCTCGTAATCGTACAGGGCTCGACGGGGTAACGTAGCTATTAGTTTTTTTTATTTTTTATAGTCTTCTTCGTTTTTACACTCCCTCCACTTTTATATGGTGCGAGATTTAAACCTGATCCGATTTTATACGAGTTGCCCTTATACGGCGTGATATATAATCCGCCGCCCAAATGAGATTGCGTATTTCTTTTAAATTCGTTAGCAACCTTGACAACGTTAGCAACACCGCCACTCAGTGCTCCTAGTGCTGACAAACCGGCAAAAATCGGAATGAGCGGTAACACCCCGCCCTTTTTCGGAATTGATATAATCCTTGGAACTTTAGTTTTTTTATTTTTGAATGTTTTTCGTGCGACGGCTACACATTTCTTACTTAATTTCATAAGATTTTTTTCGCCGATATTTTTCTTTATTGTGTTTTTAGCTGCTTTGATGGCTGCTTTAAACCCGCATCCAGCCCCGATTTTACGTTTTACTTTCATGGCGGTAGTTACGCCCCAAGCCACAGCTTTTTCTTTTAAACTAGAATCTTTAGACTTGAACCTATCCCAGGCTCGCTGCTCTAATATATAGTCAGCCTGGTTTCGATCTGTTATAGAGTTACTACGGTCGTATGCAATATCGTGATCCCTACACGCAGCGTCTAAAGGATTTACACCTTTATCTCCTCGAGCTAAACGTTTTTTTAAATTTGTCCCAGGCCCGCAATATTGATAACCTATAAGAAATATTATTATTATTACTATTACTGCGTTAATATACGCGTATTTATTCTCACCAGGCACGTGAATCTCTAATGGTAATTTATTTATAAGCGTGTTTATAAGACCAGAACCATTCGTAGTCCTTCTTCGTGCGAGCGACATCGTACACTGATCACGTTCTCAGTGTTACAGAGATATTTAAAAAATGAAATTCGTTAAACAAGATATACAACTCACAGTTGAAAACGTGGATCCGCCTACTTCGTATAAAAAACAAAGACATGGTGTACTTCTACCTAATACGATTAGAGCACTTATCATGGGCCCTTCAGGTTGTGGGAAAACTAATTTAATATTCACATTATTAACACATATAAACGGTGTACGATTTCACAACGTCTACATATATTCAAAAACATTGGATCAACCAAAATATAAATTATTGAGTGATATTTTATCAGACATTAACGGAATACAATTATTTACATTCTACGAAAACGAACAAGTTATTGAACCTGAAAAAGCTTTACCAAACTCTGTGTTTATTTTCGATGATATTATAACTGAAAACCAAAAGATTGCAAGAACCTACTTTTCCAGAGGTCGACATAATTTAGTAGATGTGTTCTATTTAGCTCAGAGTTATTCAAAAGTGCCTAAACAACTTCTACGTGATAACGCAAATTTTATTGTTTTATTTAAACAAGATGAGACAAACTTAAAACATGTTTACAACGAACACTGCTCCGGTGATATGTCATATCCCGAGTTTAAAGAATTTTGTACTTCATGTTGGCGTAAAGGGAGATTTGAATTTATCGTCATAAACAAAGACAGTGATCGCGATAACGGCCGATATCGCCACGGATTCGATACGTTTGTTGTTATATAAACTATGGTTTTTTATAATGCACTTCATTCGTAAATATGTCGTCTAAAGGTGAGGTACTCGGAGAATTGATTAAAGCTAAAGAAAATATTAAACGCAAGTATACTGCATTAAAAAATGGAAAAGCTGATATTCAATCTTTTGTATCACAAACATTTCAGCCAATAATCGAACCTCTAAACAAATTACAAACTGTCAAAGTCGACGAGGGTATGGTTTCCAACACGTCTGACGATCGGTTCACAAATTTACGTAAATTAGAAGACCAGGAAAAAGATAAAGTATATGGCCCGAAAAAAAATTCTCAAGGCATTATCAAATTAGGTACAGAAGTAATACATTTTAGAAACGGTGCAGTAATTGTGAGAGAAAACTCTTATCCGATGACACAAGGGCTTGGCGAGTTATTGTTTTCCAGATATCCAATGCAATACACAGCTAATGATTTAATTACATATAAAGACATACTGATTCAAACTTCAGCACATTTAACACAGGACGGAACAAAAATTAGGAAAGGTGGTACAAAGTATGAACAAATTATTAGCAAGCTATTCACCACAGGCTCAGGTGTGAAATTACAAACGCATAATCTAGTATATTGGAATGATCCGAACGAGCTGGTCGATAGGTTACGACTTCTTTTAGCCTCGCAAGCTGCTGGTAATACAGGGCTTTCCAACGAAATACTTTCAATTTACGAAGAATTGTATGAAACGGGTTTAATAAAACGAATTCCAAATGTCTAAACGTGATATAGCGAACGAATTACACAAACCAGCGAGAAAAAATTATACAAGGCGAAGAGTTAATGTGTATGGTAAAAACGACTTGTGGCAAATCGATTTAGTGGAAATGATTCCTTATTCTAAAAAGAATAAAGGTTATAAATATATTTTAACTATCATAGATTGCTACACGAAATACTGTTTCGCTGTACCTTTAAAGTCAAAAACGGCTAAAGAAGTTTCAAATGCAATGTCAAAAATACTACTCAAGCGCTCGCCAAAACTATTGCAGGCCGATAACGGAAAAGAATTTTACAATGTAACATTCGATGCGCTGATGAAGAAACACAATATACATAAATATTCCACGTATAGTACAACAAAGGCTTGTATCATTGAGCGTCTAAACAGATCAATTAAGGAAAAAATGTATAGAGAATTCACTGCGCGAGGATCACATGAATGGGTTTCTATTCTTCAATCTCTGATTAACGAATATAATAATTCAAAACATAGAACAATAGGTATGACTCCTATACAAGCTGATGCAAATCCTTCTTCAGTGAAATTAAAGCAACGTCGAATTAATAATGTAAAAATTAAATTTAACATCGGCGATTGTATTCGGATAAGCACGTATAAATCAGTATTTTCAAAGGGATATCTGCCGAGCTGGTCCACAGAAATATTTAAAATAACCAAAATAAATAAAACATCTCCCACTACTTATCAACTAGAAGATTATACAGGAAGCCCGATTTTAGGTTGTTTCTACTCTGAGGAAATTCAAAAAACTAGTTTCCCAAACGATTATTTAGTCGAAAAAATTATTCGTAGAAAGGGGAAGAAAATGTTTGTAAAATGGTTAGGGTTCGATAATACACACAATAGTTGGATAGATACGAGCGACATCAGAAAATAGTGTCAGTCGAACACTAGACATGAACGTGTTCGGAAGTTCACAGGCTGGTGAAACAAAAAAATTTGTGACAAATCTCGAACAAACCGTAAAATCATATTGTATAAAACTAAGTAAGTTAGAACATTTACTCGAGGAAAATCATAAATCCATTCAAACACAGGAAGAGCAAACTGAAACACTTCAATTAACGTGTGATGATATACAAGAGCGCCTTATAAAAATCGAAGCATTGTTACAAAATATCCGAGAAAATACAGACAATCTGAAAAAAAATTCCTAAAGTACTATCATCATCATCCAAGCAATAATGTGTACTGGTATCATTGATTTTCATTGCATTCTTGGGAGGGACAATAAATACATGATAAAAGAAATGTCTGTAGTAGATGTAGAAACATGGGCTACCCAACATTGGATTTTTAAAAATTCAAAATCAATACAGGATAACAAGAGTCGTAAGACTAACAAGTGGTTGGAACGTAATTATCATAAACTATCTCTGGAATATGGCGATGTTGAGTATGAAGAACTAAGTAGAATATTGAATTCGTTAAAGTTTAGCTTCATATACGTTAAAGGCGATCAGAAAAAACAACTTCTAGTAGAATTTATACCACACGTTGTAGTTATTAACATTGAAGACATGGGATGCCCTCCACTAGACCAAATATGTGATGAAGAAACTTTACCATGTTGTATTTTTCATATGAATTTCAATCCTAAACAATGTTCATTTTATAAAGTATTTAGTCTAAGAAAATGGTTTGTAAATAATATGTAAAAATAAACATTATATTTATTTTTTTATACCAGTGAGTTATTTCTTTATACTACCCTATCCTAACTATTTGCAATAATAATAATAAATATAATATCCATAGAGATACTTTACAAAAAAAAAAAAAATAGTATCTACATGGTATTTTACAGAAAAAATAGTATCTACATGGTATTTTACAGAAAAAATAGTATCTACATGGTATTTTACAGAATAAAAAAAATAATGTCTACAGTGATATTTTACAGTATAAAAACAATTCATTATGGATGCCAAAAAACTATCTGTTTTGCTCGGCTTCTGCAAGTTGCATTAAATCGGCTTCTGCTTCCTCTAGTGTTCTGGTTTCCCTATACAATTTAATAATATTAAAAGTGTGATTAATTAAAATATTTAATTATTTTTTAACTCACTCTATGGAGTAGTGACCGTGAGCCAGAGTATGTATTTTATCCTCGAGTATAACCCTCTTGTCATCGAAACTATTATAAGTCACTTTGTTTGACTTGATGGTCTTCAATTGATGTTTGAATGAACGTATAGATACATTTTCTGTCATAGTTTCCAAGGTTGCATCTCCAAACAGACAACGGTAATGATCGTTAAAGTTCATGTGGTTTTTCACTACATGGCCACGGATTCCTTTTGCCCTGATCTTCTCTTTCCCATTGATCTTATATGTATAAGACTTTGCACGGAGAGCACAAAAATGTGTCATTACCTCTGAGTTGGTTTCATCGGAAAAGAGTCCTGGTATCTTCTTTCGTTCGGCAATGTAGCAAGGGTGATCTGATGGCAAGTCTGATGTATCCATTCGATCAAGTAAATTGGAATTATTCTTAAGGTCTTTATAAAAATCTTCGGTCTGGACATAGTATACCAGTGAATCTGGAAAACAGTATAATTTAATATATGAAAATTAGTATAGTTTGAAAACATTTACCTGTATCGGTATACATGAGCTCAATTTTATCCCCATAATGGGCTTGCATAACGTTGTAGTGATAATCATACATGACGGTCTTAGAAATTTCCAACACTGCAAAACCTGTTGAAAAAAAAATATATTAAAATTCAGCTACTATAAGAAGTATATTATATTTACCTATATAAATAGGCTTGCAAAAATCAATGATTTTATTTTCCAACGAAATGGCATTGATAGTTTCACTGTATGTAGTACAGTGTTTAAACGTACACTTATTTATAAGTTTTTGCAAACGTTTTTCACTACAAACCAGCTCCATTTTAATTCTCCGTCTTAAATTTTCCATAGTTTTCCCTTTAAAGTTGTATTAAATGTCAGTAAAATAATTAAAAACATAATAAGGGAATAAATATACCAAAGACAGCGTTGTTTAAAAGTTTAAAAAAGTCCTTTTCGAAGTCGTTCCTTGCTTTTTTCCGCATCTCGGTGTTTAATTCTATGTATTTTTTAAGCCAGTCTGACTGATTAAACTGTACAACTCTGTGAACCTGCAATAAAACAGAATATGTAATAAATAAAATAAATGAGATAAAATATGTTACTTTTTCCACTACTAGTCCGTTGGCTATGGCCTGCTGTAGGTTGAGATAATGGATTACATAGTTTTTCTTTGATTCTAAAGTCGCCATAAGTTTCTTAACTTTTGAACCAGGTGGGATATCATTTTTTGGTAGGAATGGTAAGTCATTGTGTTTGTCATGAAGTTCTTTTGGATATGATATATCGACCTCATACATCCGTCCGATTGGTGAACTATCGTTTAAATCATTTAACCCATCTAGTTTTGGTTCAACCCACTTAAAACCTCCGTATGGCATGTAATGTGACATTGCGTAACCGTACAAGTTGTTACCTGCAAGTTAAATAATATATTATATTAATGAAAATTAAATATTAAATTGATCTTACAATCCTGATAAACAAGCCATGATTTCGGTTGTGCTGGATCATGAGCTGGTGTCTTTTCATTATTAGCCTTTGCATATCTCATGCTCGCCTGAGTCAAGCCACCACGAATTCCTATAATAAAATCAAGGATTATTTCACATAATATATTTCACATAATATAACTTTACCTTTTTCAAACATTAACAACATATCATAATCTGTCAACAATTCCAGCTTCATTGAAGTGTATTTCAACATACAGTCAAAACTAAAACCTGGAGCTGTAAAGTAAAATGATGGGTCCAGATGGTATGTGCTTAAACAGAGGTCTCGGAAATTTTCAAACACATCAGCCAACAGTAGTACATCAATTTTTAAATAAAGATCGGAGTATTCCCCTAGTGTTTTACAGTTGAAATGATTCCAAACAGTCTTCGCATGATCATAATGTTTATCTTTTATATGTGATTCGTACAGTGAACTGTAAAAATCTTCTTTCTGAGGCAAAACAGTTTCTTCCAACTTGTCCCAACTATCTGTATACTCATAAGGGTAGACTCCCTTACGGGTAACAAGTGGTAAATCTTGAGATGAAAAATATTTTTCTGTCTCTCTAAACTTTTCAAATCCGGGTGTAATTAAATTTTTTGAAAGTTTTGATAAGCTTGCGGACATAAATCTTAATGTGTCTATAAATCTTATTGTGAAAGTGTTGCTAATATATTTTGAAAACGTTATAAACTTTTCCTCACTGTTTGGTATCACTGAAATTGAATGTGCGTCATAACCAAGACGAGTGACAATAAAATGTGAATCATAATTCGTTAAATTATGAAAAAATACCGGTACAAAGCTAGGTGTTTGGAGTTTAAGATTACACGTATTACATAGTGACTGTCTAAATTTCCCTGATAAATGGCAGTGATCTGCCACTTTATGATTTTCTAGGGAAAACTTGACCTTACATAAATTACAATTATTACATAATGCATGTGTTCTCCGTTGTTCGTCTGTGAAAATTATAGGAATGTTTGTTTTGAGTAACTCTTCAATTTTTTGGCTATTTCCACAATACTATCCACAAAATGTCCGGCTACGTCCTTATTATTTTCATTTCCACGGTAAATTACAGGAGATGTTGGAATTTCAAATTTTTCGAGCAGTTCTACTGGTATGTCTTCATTTGCTTTAACCACAAGTCCATAGCTCATGGGCTCGTGTTGTTGAAAAGCTGCTGTTTTTTCTCCAATTTTCTCATCAGTTTTCTTAAGAATTGCTTCGAAATCTGCATAAATTACTATAGGATGACGTTGCGTTTTATTCCATGCAGTAAACTCGAGCATTGTACCAGGTTCAGGCATCTGAGCTAGTATAGGTTTATGTTCTCCACATATTAATTTATGTTGCTCTAGCCCGGCCTCACCGTTTAATTTATATTTGTATTGTTGTTTATCGAATTTTGCAAAGCACCGTTTGCAGAAAATTGCTTGTCCGTTATGTCTAGTTTTTTGTGACCTGATGAGCCGTGAAAAATTAGAGATATAGCTATAATGACTGTTATCCTCGTCTGATGTTATAAGTAGATCAAAATGATCCGGTTTTTCTTCATCTACTACTTTAAGAGGAAAAACTTTATATTCCGGAAATTTTGGCGGTTGAAATTTCTTCTCGATACCGTAAACATTGACAGACACATTTGGATTATTTTTTTCAAAAATTTTAACTTTATGTAGTGGTGTTGGGAATGTTAAACCAGAAAAATTATATTTTTTCTCGTGTTTTAAATAATTATCACCAACACAGCATTTATTTTCTCCTGTAACATGTTTTGCTAGAATTGCCCACTTGAAGCATTGCATATCTAAGTTTTGAGGGTTAATCACAGCTTTTTTATTTTTAATGTCCACTGGAAGTGTTATATAAGAGGAACCGCCCATAGGTGTATATTTATATATACCCAGCATTAACCCGTCAATACATTGTAATGTGAAACCACTACCCTTGCTTGCATACTCGTCTTGCTCTTTCATTAATTTAGTAAATGCCTCTTCAACAATTTCCTGTACTCCAGTATCACAGAAAACTGCCTTAGCCGAAGTTTTAAAAGCACGGTTTTCCGACGAATATTCAACATTTGGTATATTATATGTCGCTTCAAGCTTTAAATTAAACTTGATCGGATTTTTACTTGCAATTGATTTTAGTAAATTAACTAGTTCAGATTTGATCGAATCGAGGAAGTATGTATAGTTTTGAATATTATTGGTGTTTTTTACGTAGTACCAGGTGATAGTATTGTTTGATGATGTAGATATTTTTGTAAACCCTGGAGACTTTACGAGATTCAGACGTATTTTTTTTGCCCTAACAGCGGATTGAGTGTTGGCGCTGGAAACACGTTTACCATTATCGAGTGTAGTGTATGAATCTTTAGAAAAAAAAAAAAAAAAAATTAATCTATGACGCGTTTATAAAAAGAAATAGCTAACCTGAAATCATAAAGTCCAAGATTCTCAACGGTGTCCAAAACTTCCAAGCATAAATCATCATTCGCATTACTCCAAAATTCATCCTTCGTGTAATCTCGCATGGGTGATAAGCGATCATTTTGCCCGAGAAGATCGGCGGTGTCGAGAACCTCCCAGCATTCATTCGCGTTACTCGTAAATACATCCGCCATGTTATCTCGCATGGGTGATAAGCGAACATTTGATTATCTCGTTTAGTTGATACGCGATCTTTATGAACGGATGATGTACCAGGTTGCAAGTTTGGTACAAAAACGTGTGGCGCGATCTGTACTATACCTGATGACAAAATTGAAATAAATATTTAAAGTGAATATAGAAAATAGGTACATACCATGAACATTTTTCAAATGTCTATTGAGGCTGGTCTTGTAACTGAACGTAATGCCGCACCTAATACACGGTATACGAATACCCTCGTGCGTTTTTTCATGTCTTGTCAGATTACGTTTCGCTGTAAATTCTGAAGCACATTTGATGCATTTGAACAATTTCGAATGTGTTTTTCGGTGAGCGATCAGATTTGACTCGTATATGAATCCCAAAGAACATTGCTCGCATTTAAACATTTTAAAATAAACGGATAAGAAAAAATTAATACGTTATATAATAATTACGTACGTAGTATTAGCGTAGAGCGAACGAGATGTATATAATAGAACACTATAACACCAACTGCGGACAGTAATGAATAGTGACTATTCATTCATTCAAAAATCCCTACCGCCGCCGCCGCCACCACTGATACCCGTCACGTGACAAAATACAGGGTCGTCGATTGTTCTAATATATCGGGTTGTACTAATATCCGTATGGTATAGTGTTCAAACCATTACTATCCTACTGAATATGAGACAAGCACACGCGAAAACACTGGAACGATATAGAGTGACTGAATTTATGTATATATGTATGTGTATAAGAGTTCATATGTAATTGAATGAATAAAGGAGTGGGTGGCTTGTTTGTGTACTATATGGAATACTGGAATCGTGCGTTTGTGAGTGTGTGTGTGTGTGTGTGTGTGTGTGTGTGTATGCATGCTTGTATGTATGATAAGGTATATATATATATGTTGAGCGTGTGTTCAGAATGAAAACTGATGAGTACCGTATGGTATCGTGTGTTTCATAGTATATTATAGTTTGTAAGTGTTTGGTCATATCATATTTATATGTATAAATATACCTATGTATCGTATATATTATGAAAATTATATAATATGTTCAGGAGTTTGTGATAATGATGTGTATATAATTATTAATTGTTTGGTTATAATTTATGTTAGTATGTACCTATATATGTAAACTATATTATATTATAATATATTTGGGATACATTCCGGTGTATGCTTTAGCGAGATGTTTATTCGAATGGGATTATAATCTGAAAATGGTCTAATATTTTTAGATATGTGTGATAATGTACCATATCTTTAATGTTTTTTTTTTTAGTTCTTTATTTTACACAATATATTACAACAATCTGCTCTACTTATATATCTTAAGGAAATTGTAAATAATTTGTAAAATAAAAATACTTTTTTTTTAAATATCATGTTGTTTTTTTTATTATATATATATAAGTAATAAAATATCATATTACAATAAAATATTACATTAATGGTTCACGTTTTAAATAATTTACAGCAATATAAAAATTACATAATACAATATTATATTATTGGTTCGCGTTTTTAAATACAAATTATTGACAGCAATATAAAAATTACATATTACAATAAAATATTACATTCTTAACGAAAAATTAATGTGCGGGCTGCTTTTGCGGTTTCACGTGCTACGAATCCCCTCGTCCTCGGTCTGGTTACTTCAGACTAAAAAATTTGTTTTCTTTAGTATAAAATAATATGTAAAAATAAAATCGTATTACCTCAATTTCGATCGAAGAAGCTAACCATCCCCTTGCCAATTGTTTGACTGCCTTGATTTTCAAATCTGCTATTAAACCATTACCAGTGAAATTGAGTTGTTTTTTTCAATTCTTGGACATCGATGCGGGAATAAATAATATTCAACATTGCTTATTTTTTGTATCTTTGGGTAGCGGCATTTCCTTTCCAAGATACATTGTAATATCACAGGCCTGACGTAATGCACTAGGTCGTGTATATATATTTTTCATATGAATAACTTCTTCCACGGCATCATTTAATTGCAAGATCCTCGAAACATTCTCTTTAGTTAATCGTACATGTTGATCCTGTTGCAAACACTTTATCGAGAGAACGTTGTCACCGTTGTATTTATCTACTGAAGCCAATTTAAGCTCCTTCAGCATTAAATGAGATGGTCGTGAAAAATTGATGTAGTTAAGAGCTATATTAATTAGAGATTTATAGAATTCAATACTCATTTCAACACACTGCGAGTTATTTGAGATGTATATAACGCAATTAAACAAAAAATCAGGATCTAATCCTATATTTATAAAAATATTGCTATCAATAAAGAATGTAGTACAATCGATCAGATTAGCTGGCGGCGATGGTGGTGTATATTTGTAAGTTTTCTTGTATATATTTTCCATATTTTCAATTGGACCAGCCATATTTATTTTACGCACTGAGAAATAAATATGATTTTAACACTGAATATGAGACAAGCACACGCGAAACACTTGGAACGATTATATAGAGTGACTGAATTTATGTTGTGTAGTTGTGTTCATAAACGAGCAAATTAAATATTAATTGGTGGGGGAGACATCGAAAAGTCCCTACAGGTTAATCGGGAGGGGGAAAATGGTATAGTGGTGGGGGAAATTATACCTCGCGTACGCCAGTTAAATGAGATAGAATATACCTTCTCAAACAGATGCGAGTAGGCGGCCCAGTGGTACGGTTGTCGCTTATCATGCAAGTTAACCGGGTTCGAATCACGGTCCGGCGGATAAATTTTTAAATTATTTTCCACGCGCGGTGGTCATAGGTGGTGGGGTGGCGGGGGTACATCGTTAACGTGTGTGATATATGGTGGGTTCAGCAGCCGTCAATGTATAGGGATGAGCAGACAGGTATAGTGGGATGAGCAGACGGGTATAGTGGGTTGAGCAAACGGTGTATTGGGTTGAGCAGACGGTATAGTGGGTTGAGCAAACGGGTATAGGGTTGAGCCAGCAGGTTGA